TTTATACTTCTGAGTATTCTCCTGAAACTGCAGACTCCTCTAAGGAATCAAAGCTTTTCTGAGATATTCAAGACCTTCCTTGATTTTTTGTTCTGGTCAAACTAACTACAAAATTAAATGTTCAAAGGCATTTTCTCTCGAGTGATTTGATTTTTTTCCAACATCAGTATTGTTTTTTACTTTTTCCATCAGGGACCACTGGAGGTAGCCCAAGTGTTTTTGGCCGAAATTCCAGCTGACCCCAAACTCTATCGACATCACAACAAGTTGCGATTATGTTTTAAGGAGTTCATAATGCGGTAAGGAGGAAAATGGCTGGGAATTCAGTAGACCTGTGCTTCTCAAAGTGTGGTCCCCAGAGCAGCAGCTTCAGCATCACCTGCGAAATTTGCTAGGAAGGCAGATTCTCAGGCACCAACCAGACCTACTGAATCAGAATCTCCAGAGGTGGGCCCAGCAACCTGTGTTTCCACAAGGCCTCCAGGGGATTCTGATGCACGTTCGAGTTTGAGAACCACTGCAGTAGAGCAGTACTACTTACAGTACTAACACGTAACTCACGCTTCAACTGTCGAGTGCTTTCGTGTCTATCATCTCCCACGTGCCTCACAATCACGTTGTAAAACAGGTATTATCACCATCCTCATCTTACAAAAGAGGCAACAGAGGTTCAGAGATGGGAGATGATTTTACTTAAGGTCACACAGCTGGTTAGTAGCAGAGTTGAGTTCAAACCCAGGTCTTCTGACTTTAAATAGCCCATGCTTCCATCCATGTTGATGGTCCACTGACGTGTTAGAGTCTGAGAGGTTCTTGGCATCGGCAGTCTTCATAATTTCCCATATCATGCAGTAACTTATTTTTAGAAATGTGAAGATAGACATCGGGAGATAAAGGCAAGATTCTAAAACTGGGCTTTTTCAAAGGCATTATCTCTATGGCACTTCCCACTGTCAGACAAGCTTCATCTCTGCTCCTGAATTCTGCAAAGGAACTGGCTCCAAGAGCAGCCTGTCCAGCCTGGATAGGAAGCCAGTCTTTGGGCAATGTCTTGCAAGCTGTTGCAGTATACAGACAGCTATGTTGGGTCTCCTGTGGCCCTAAAAAGAATGATTATAAAGGATGTGATGGCATTTCACTCATAAGAGAGGACATCAGAAAAATGTGTGCCAATATTTCTTTTCATCCAGAACCTTGGAGCAGCATATAAAGTGTAAGAATATCCTTACTTGGCAGATGGGCATAAAGGAGGCTGCAAGTTCAAGTTTGCTAAATTCAGTGAAAACTCATCGGGATGCTAGTGTTGGGTGGGGTTAGAGATACCTCCTTCTTCACAGGCTTTGATGAGATGTATGCAAATTTGCTGTGTACAGAGGAGACACACTTGGTCCTGCAGTGAATCACAGCTGCTTGGTAATAGGGTGTGTGTGTGTGGCTGTGTATGAGTGTGTGGGCATATGCACACATACATGCAGACACAGAGGTTATATTTATTAATGTTTTGGTATTTGAATCATTTCCTGTATTTGATAGCAATTCTGACATTACACAAAAGCTAGATTTTCTTCAGTAAGCAGTGCATTTTCATAGATCAAAAGGCTACAAAAATATCAGAGGAATTTTTATGATCTATTTACTTTCCACATATCTTCATTTAAAATTAGTTATGGTCGAAGGCCCCTGAAGTAGGAAGTGGCCCGGGCCTCTCTGGAAAGGATCTATGAAATGTTTAATGAGCATGCACTATGACCCAGGTATGATATTAGTTGTGGGAGTACAGGAGCTGGGTATTCCTCCTCCTGACAACAGGATACATATCTGCGTGGCTACATAATAACACAATGCAGCATGGGCCAAGAACTGTTAAGAGTGAAGTAAATACAGGGCTATAGAGTTCAGAAAAGAACAGTCAGTTACAGGCTGGAACGGCTGGGGAAGACTTTGTAGAAAACATCACTTAAACCTTGTCTTGAATATATAGGTGGAAGAAAGGGGGTAGCGGGAAGAGGGAGCCATTACTGGTCAAGTGACCAACATGACAAGACTCAGAGGCAAGCATGTCCATGATGCCTCTGGGCTCCTCTGAGTTGGCAAGAGCAGCGTGTTCTCGTTGAGCATGCTAGGACGAGGTGGAAAGACAGTGGTACTGGTAAACGGAGCTCTGAGTAGAATTTAAATGTAAAAGGAAGCTTGTTAAGAGAAGCCGTGACTTTTGTTTCTTAGTTAAAATGTACTTATAAAATCCCTATTGAACGCACATTTTTAATTAGCTCCAGCCCCAGGACAAGTGACTACAAAGAGAACTAGGGCTGAGTAAAACTGTTCCAGGCAAGATATATAAAAGGAAAGGGGTTTTCCAGGGATGGTCCTTTAAATAAGTCATGCGTTAGACTTTGGATGGTGACGTTCTCTTTCTCCCCAGATGGCCTGCAAAACTGCCTGATTTTCAAAATCAAATTCACCGTTTAAAATGTTCTCCGGCCCTTCTAATGGTGATTCCCATGGGAAAGCAGGCTATCATCCCACCTTCCCCAGTGCCAGTTGGGCTGCCCCATTGTTCTAGGAAAGCCACAAGAATATCTAACAGTGCTTCTCAAACTTCCCTGTGCAAACAAATGACCTGGGGATCTTGTCAAAATACACATTCTGATTTTGTGTGTCTGGGGTGGGCCTGAGACGCTGCATTTCTAACAGGCACCCAGGTGATGCTGATGCTGCTGGATGGGACCAAACTTGAGTAGAGGCTATAACGCTGTAGAGGTTGCTTGATTGCCTCCCTCAAACATTTTCTCCTCCTCCTTCCCACGCCCGCCCCCCCAGTGGCTTTATCCTTCAGGCCATGCCTGTTGTCACTCACCTCTTTTCCTTTCCTTTCCTCCCTGCAAAACAGCAAACGTGCTCAAACTGCTGCACTGCTGAACTGACTATAGATGTCAGTTCATTCATTCACTCAGCAAATACTTACTGAGCCCGTACTTTGTGCCAGGCACCGTGCTACACATGTGCAAGGGTGAAGTCCCAGTACAAGTGGGACAAGGCTACAGGCAAAACAACGCTGCTGCTCACTATTTCATCTCTGGGTGCAACTAGAGGTTGACTTTCCTTCCACTTTATTTCACATAGACCAAAGGTAGTGAGAGCGATTGCGAAGGTTGCATAACTGTATAAATCCACTAAAACTCATCAAACTGTACATTTAAAATGAGTGAATGTGATGGTCTGTAAATTACACCCTCAGTACAACCAGGTGAGGAAACCTTCCTTTCCCCATTGCTTAATTTCTTCTCAAGTCCATTAAAGTAATAGCTTTTTAATGACTAGACTAACTATTTTATCAAGTTGTTTGCACCCGTGTATCCCCCCCTGCCCCCCAGCTCCCAGACAGCCAAGGTGGTGCAGGAGTGGAAAATGTCTGGGGTTGAACAGCTCTCAGGTTTTCCCTGGAGTGAGCTCCAGCTTCTCAGCAGACTTGGAGTGTTGGTCGATAAGCCCCGATTTCCAAGGTGAAGATAGTGAGCCTTCCGATGCTGATTGCTAATAGCGGAAATGTACCCTTGCCAGGTGCACTGAGCCAGGTCCCGCTGCTGGGCAATGGCCTTTCTGCCTCAGCTGTGGCGGAACCGGATACAGCCATAAAGAACCTGGCAGGCTGACCTGCTGTAGCTGATGCTTCTCCTGCCAGTCCTGGGCTCTTCAGATGGTTGCCAAGTTGGGACCTCAATCCCTTCCTGCCTTTTGCTGAGATAAGAAAAAGTACCTCACAGTTTCAGAAGGCAAGATGGAGAGCTACAGCATTCTTTTTCCCTCCACTGCCCCCCCCAAAGCACCCAAACCATTTTAGACACTGCAACCTGTGCCAATTTCTTCTTCTTATATTTCTTAGTCAGCTTGGACTGCTACAATGAAATGCCACAGACTGAGTGGCTTGAACAACAGACATTGATTTCGCACAGTGCAGAGGCTGGGAAGGCCAGGATTAAGGTGCCAGCAGATTCAGTTCCAGGGGAGACCCTCCTACTGGCTTGTAAACGGCCACCTTCTCACTGTATCCTCACACAGCAGAGAGGAAGAGGAAGAAAGCTCTCTGGTATTTCTTCTTACAAGTGCACTTATCCCATCGTGGCCTAATTTAAACCTAAACTCCTCCTCTAAATACCGTCAAATGGTGGGGGGGGTTGTTTAGGGCTTCAATATATGAATTTTGGGGGACAGATACATTCAGTCCATAATATTACCTGAACTTTCCTATAACTATTCCTATAAAGACTAAGTGATTTTTAAATTTATTTTTATATTTAAACAAAATATAGTAGTACACAATGACACCAGTCACACACTGCCTTTAAGAGAAGCAGTTTCAGATACCCCCAGAGAAGGTCCACTGCACACGTGGTCAGAGAGTCAGAAAACGGGGTTGGGCGGTGGTGTTATAAGCTGGAGTTAAGTCTGTGAAGATGAGGGAGAGGGAATTTGCTCAAGTGGCCAACGGAGAACAAATGTGTATAGTGTAGGTGAGAACCGACACAGGAGGTAGAAAGAGATCTGAATATTTGGTGGGAAAACAAAGCCTTCAAGATCATGAGGGGTGGCTCAGAAGCAGGTCGACTATGGGGACATATGAGTGACTTTTGTCACTTTTCCAGGGTCACAGAGACCTGGGTTAGTGGGCCAAGGATGCTAGACAGAAACTGAGAGCCAAGCAGAGCAGCTTACACACACACACACACACACACACACACACACACAGCTCTTCCCCCTCTCCATCCCCTCTGCAATGATTCTAAAGAGAAAAAAAAATCCATTTTTGTTACAGTGTGATTCTGTCCCCCTCTCTTGCTCCACTCCCCAACTCCCTCCAACAAGCTCTTGGTCCTCAGTGCTTTTCCTTTCACTCACTTTTTTTTTTTTTTTTTCACTTTTTCCTCTCCCTGTGGGAAGGGGGCACCATGCCCGAGGGTTGCTGGGGCTGATACCGAATTAGCAAATGTGATACGATCATTGGAAACCCAGGGCTCAGGACTCTTCAGGACAGGAGCCCAGGGCCTGAAGGAGGTTGAAGCCAGTGTAATGTGAACCAAGCACTAAAGACCAGCCTACGGTCTGATCTGGGGACTCCCACCCCCACCTGAGTTCTAGTGTGTTCAGTAGGTCCTCAGAACCTGCTTCCAGGTGTCAGATGTGAGATTGGACACCTTCCCAAGCCCATAGCTCCAATCTAGCTCCCCTCCCTTCCCACATCTGGCCTCAGGAGGAGGAAAAAGAGCCACTGTGCCTTCCTCGAGGGAGGCAGCCACACAGGCCCAACAAGGGGAGGTAGAGGTGGCTCAGGGGACAGCAGGAAGGCCCAGCCACTGCTCCTTGTCTGCCCTGGGGTGCGCCCCCCTGCCCCCACAATGCTGTGCACTCTCAATCTCCCGCGCCTCCCCATCTGCAGTGACGGGGTCACATGGGATGAGTGCCTTCCGATGGGCTGTAACCCCTACTTCCCTCTAGGAAAGGCAGGCAACACTGACTGAGCAGCCCTCCCCCGTGGCAGCCGCTCACTTAGGTCCTCACATACCTGACACCATTTCATGCCCATAAACCCGTTTTATAGATGAAGGACATGAGGTTGAAGGAGGTTGTGATTAGCCCAAGGTCACACAGCAAGTAAGTGGCAGAACCAGGATTTAAACTAGTCCTCCATTGGGACAGGCTGCCCTTGGGATCTGGGGTCTGGTAGTGGTTGGGCTGGGAGGGAGGAAATGAAGGGGAGAAGATTGGAGAAAGCCACTGGGATGGGCCTGGCAGAGGTGGGTATGCCCATGGACTCTCACATCCACTGCAACTCTTCCTGTGGAGAGGCCAGACATTCCTTTCACACCCTGCCCCCAAATGATCCTTCCTTACCTTAAGGGGCCTGGAGCATATACATTACTCCAGTCATGGGAGGAGGATGGGTCCAATTCCTCAGTTTCTCCAGGATCTCTGTCAGATTCTCCCCTTGTTCCAGTAGCGATGTTTTGGGCCCTGAGTGGAGACTTGCTAAAAAGTTACTAGGATGAAGCTGAGAAAGGCAGAATACTACAATTTGGGGCTCCAGAGAGAATAGTTACAACTTGAGACCAAGGCCGTATGCCTGAATTCTAGCTGGAAAGGTCAGTGTTTTCCCTAGGCAGCATGTGTGGTGTTGGGGTGAGGAATGTGGGCTCTTGAGCCAGGGTTCAAATATCCACTCAGCCTTAACTAGCTCTCTGACCTTGGGTATGTAACCTAACCTCAGTTTCCCCAGCTGTAAAATGGGAGTAATAATGGTAACTACCTCTTAGAGTTAAGTGTCGGGATAAAATGAGTTAATATGAAGAGCTTAGAATGGGGCTTGGCACAACTAAGTGATCGATGAGTGTAACATTATTCAGTGGGGCAAATAGATACCTGATCAATCCTACTCTTTCTGAGTAGGAAAGAGACTTAACAGTCTGATTTAAATATAGAGATTGTCTGCCTCGCTAAGGTTTGTACCATAAGATGCAGTGGGGCTGATGAGACATCGCCTGGGAGCAGCAGGATCCTGGATTTCCATCTGACTCTGCTGTTCCCACAGGTGTGTGACTCCCACCAGGGCACCTCATCTCTTCGCATCTTAGTTTCATCAACTATGAAAAACGAGAGACTGGAATATACAGTCTCTAATAGTCCGTCATTCTCATAGTGAACAGATAGTTTCTTACTCAGGCTGGGTCAATCAGGAGTAATAATAACAATGTGTTCTAGGTTTTAGCTGTGTGCCAGCACTGTGCTAAGCATTTTATATGTTTAACTCATTTAATCTTTACAATAATTTATGAGGTAGGCTCTGAGCATTTAACCCAGTCTAGGGCACATAGTAAGCAATCAGTGTATGCTAGCTAGCTGTTATTACTTCTGATAATAAAGACTACAGAGAGTTTAGTTAATTCTCCCAAAGTTGTCAGAGTAGATATCCCAAGTTAGCAGTTAGCTTCTGCAGGCCTCTTGTAGTCTGCAGTGTTACAAACCCGTGCCTTGAAGTCATCCTGAAACTGATTTTATTTCATCCATGGTAGTAACTTATAACTGTTAGTTAAGAAGCAATAAAAAATAATAAGGGGTGATGTAGATTTCTCAGGATGCAAAGGCTATATACCTCCCCTTCTACCCCATCCTTGAAACCTTTGATATGTAACCCAAGTGTCCTACAATTTGCTTCAATTAATGTCAAACTGAAAAGATAGGTGAAAATGCAGTTAAGGGAGTTCTTTTGGCTTCTGGCTGAGTTAAATCAAGTCCTTCTATAGCAGGCTAATTCTGTGATGAAGCTGTGGTCATACGTTTATTTTTGCCCGGGCCATGTAGCTTTCCCTGCCCTGTAGCCACATTCCACCCTCTTTCGGGATGACCTTTGACTGTCGTCCTGAAACTATGTCCAGTGGTAATAGGGGTGATTTGGCAACAAGGTCTGGGGATCCTCATAACTTAACCCAAATCTAGCACCACTATTAGGAAAACAGTTTAAACCACACTGATCACCGGAATCCTTTCATCTGAAGGATGATAGAATTATTACTAATTATTGTATGTTGGCTAAGTTTCAGCCATTATGTTGTCCCTTCAAGGCTTGTTGATTTGTAAGTTCCCTTGGGTAAAACTGTATAAAATAAAAGGCAAGACTTTATCATGTGTAAATAATATGATTTTCTTCTTTGGTATGTACCATACTATGTGGGAGACCATGAAAACACTAGGCTTAACTGTCCACAAGTTAGACAAACACAATGTGCTTTAAAGATTCTATCTTTTTCGTGTGTGTATGAGGAAGATCAGCCCTGAGCTAACATCCATGCCAATCCTCCTCTTTTTGCTGAGGAAGACTGGCCCTGAGCTAACATCTATTGCCAATCTTCCTCC